ACAGGTATTGATGCCCAATATTATGATGGGAATAGAATAAAAAGTGTGGCTCGATAAAGCTGTACTTGAGAAAAAGAGAAAACAGTCAATAGGAAGTATATGTATCGGTAATTACAAGTCAAGTTCGAACGAACTAACAATCAGAGAGAAATAGGAAGATGAGGACCTATGCCAGAGGGAGGTACTATTCGGCCATATAAACCGTAGAAAAACACCTTCAGCAATCTTTTAAACGGGGCTGGACGTGAGTTCCTGTGGCAGGGTGTTCCAAAGCTTCACGGCGGACACCAATGGTCAGCTGTCGCCAGATGTTTGCCGAGTTAGCGGCACAACGTATTTGAAATTGTCATTGCCACGGGTGTTACTGGGAGGTTGTAGGGCTACTCTATCTTTCAGAAGAGGGCTGATGCTGCTGGTGTGGCCACGGTACATAAGGAAACGGAGTTTTCATTTGGCACGTTCAATTACAGGGATCAGGGAAAGGCGAGTGTATAATAGGAGTGGTATGGGACGGGAAGGGCAGATTGGCTACGCAGCGAACACATCGCTTGTCGAGGACAGTGAGCTGGTGCCGCTGCTGAGCTGTGAGTGCAGAGAAGAACGCGTTTGATCCATATAGCATGTCAGGAAGTATAAGGGCAGAATAGAAGAGGAGCGACTGGCGTTCAGATAACGATGGGCGGATGGTTCTCAGGGTGGTTAACTTCTGGGAAGTTTTACGTACTATGCTGGAGTCCTGCGCGTCTCACCGAAGACAGGAATCGATCTGTAGGCCCAGAAAGCGAGCAGTGGTGGTCTGGATGAGAGGCGCCCCGTTGCAGTTAACGTTGAGCTCCAGGGTACCACGGCGTGATGCATTAATGGCTAAGACCTGCGTCTTGTCGGGGTTTAAAACCAGGCCTTTCCCGTGTAGGTAGTCAGCAAAGTTTGACACAGCAACTGACAAGACTTGATTTAGGGTTGCTACGGATCTGCTTGCGGTGTCGAGGAAGGATGTCATCCGCAAACAGCTGGGAGTGTGCTGGGCTAGTGACGCTATGAAGGTCCATGGTATATAGTGAAAACAGCAAAGGACCCAGTACACTATTCTGAGGGACTCCATACTCGCATGCAGTTAGGCCCGAGCACTGCCCACTCGCCAGAACTACTCTCTGTCGACGGTCCGTGAAGTAGCTCGCAAACCAACGCAATACAGTCGAAGATACTCCCAAAGCAAACAAATCTTGAATCATGAGCTGGTGCCGTACTTTATCCACTAGTACTGCGCCAGTATGTAGCTGGTGGTCTGCTGACGACAGGTAGCGGTCCATGGCCAAGGTCGAGGCATCTTCCGTGGAGTGTTGTGGCCGGTACGCAAGCTGATTGGCGGGCAAAAGTGAATGGGTTGATACGAAGTCACACAGGCATTTGTGGACTATCTTCTCCAAGATCTTCGATGCTATTAGTGGCAGCAAAGATATGGGATGGTAATTGCGAGATGCGTTCTTGTCACCAGACCAAAATAGGGGTCGAACATTTGCAATCTTTAGGGAGACGGGCACAATGCCAGACGAAAGGGATGCATTAGATAATATGGATAGCGATGGGGCGAGGGCTGCTTCACAATGCTTCAGGATGAATGTAGGAATACTGTCGCTGGCCTCAGCTTTACGAGCATCGAGTCTCACTAGGAAGGTGAAGACCCCTCAACACTAGTGGCCTGGAATTCCCGCAAAGGATCCCGTGGTGATGGACCGCAAGGTAGGGATAGCTGCACAGGTCTACTTGGATCGGAGACTACTCCACTGAATTGCTCGCTGAGTGCTGCTATACTGACAGAGGGTGGAGTGGAAGTTTTGGTCCGGCCGCTGACCTGGTTTATTGTTTTCCAAGTGAGGCGTGCATTTGCCTGGCTCCGTGTGAGAAGATTCTTGTAGTACTCGGCCCTGAGGCGTCTGGACATTCGCTTAGCCTCGACTCATGCTGATGTGGATACAGTCCACAGATCCATGTCAGTCGGCGAGGCTCGCCAGCGACGATGTGCTGCGTTGCGAAATAGAATAGCGCCGTGGAGGGAAGGTAATTTCCAAGGAAGGACGTGCGCGAGGAAGATTAGGCAGATACGTTCGGACAGGAGCGTGCTCGTCTAAAACAGAAAAAATCTTGTCAGTCAAAGAATACCACATGGCATCCACAGTCTGAGCGGTTGAAAAATTCTCCAGGTCGCAATGATGCAAGTCATTAGCAAATCGGTTCATATCGATCCTTGCTAGGTTACGCATGCACTTGACAGCAGGAGGTTCCACAGTGCACGTGAAAGGTAGGTCAATTACGACCGCAAAGTGGTCGCTGATGGTACAAGGGAGAACCGTGCAGGAGGTTATCGCTCCATCCGCAGCTAGAGCGAGATCCAGTGTTGTTCTGCTGCCGTGGGGGGCAATGCGGGTAGTGTCCTGCACCTTGTTGCTGATATTGAACTGGTCGCAGAAGCAATGTAAATCGTCGAGCTGAGGGGCTTGGCGCTGGCTTACGTCGACATTGAAGTCGCTCGTTAAAATCAGCGGGGACGTTGGCATTGACGCCGCTGCTGTGTCTACTGCGTTGGACAAGTCCCGCCAAAACTGTACTGGCTCACCTGGAGGTCGATACACTCCTCCTAGGAGAATCCGGTTTTGATGACTTCTGATCTCCAGTAGCAAAGGTTCTATGTTGGTGTGGTCACCCACCACTCGTGCTTGAAAGCGATTGTTGACATAGGCTGCTAGACCACCTCCATGACTGGGATGATCCCTCCGGAAAAGTGCATGGTAAGGTATGCTGAGCAAGCTGTCTGCGGTAGAGCTAGATAGAAAGGTTTCCGCCAGTATCATGATGTCAATGTTTTGAGATAGTGTGAAATCCTCAACTTCATGCTTTTTATTGTGTGGTCTAGGATGAAATGGGATTGCATTAGGGTTTAGTCGGGTGTCGGCGTTCATGATGTGGCTGAAGCTGAAGCTATCTTATCCAAGGCGAATCTCCACTCGCGTGCATGCACCTCCGCTGGCCAGAAGTTTTCCTGCAGGGCTTTGTCGATTTGATCTGCTGGGATCACGACATGTGCGTACGCCAGTCCGAAGTACCGGGATTCTGACACACTGCACTTCATGACTGGCAGGTCTTTTTTCTCTCATCAACCTACTATGGAATCAGCACTACATCCCATGTGGACATTAGAGAGGTTCTGCAAAACGAAAATGTGTACGACCTTTCGCTCTACGTCACATAGTGAGAAACTTCGCACGAACTTTCGCAACTTTGGACGCGAAACTTGCAGGGAACGCGAAATGAACTTTCGTAGGACGTTTCGTGAGATTGGGTCATGTCGTACGTGCACTTGGCGCGTGCAAACTACGAAAATGTGCAGAGCACAAAGTTCGTGCGAAAATTTGTACACATTTTCGCAAGGCCTGTATCGAAACTTCATTCGAATTTTCGTTGTGCAGAACCTCTCTATTGCCAACGTAAATTGAGCGGCATTTTATCCGAGGGGCTCCACGAAAACTTGCAGGAGCTTCAGGTTTTTGCTGATAATACGAGGTGACACTGGCCTGGCTTGTGTGCTACGTCACGGCTTGTAGTGGTAGTCCTATTTGTCAACGTGCGTGTAGGGTTTCGCAGCTTTCTCCGATCAAAGTCCTCCCACTCAGGTTCGACCGGTACGGGAGCACATGTTGGTTCGCGTGGTGTACTTGTGTCAGTTGTGACCCCTGAGCTGCAAACACTTGAATACAAGTTGCGTGTAGGAGGCCCTGAGTCAGATGTGCGTAGGTTGATCACTGATGTGGCCGTGGAGGACATGGACTGGCCTGTTGGGGTACATGTAGGCGTACACAACTTTTGAACTTCCTCCCTGAGTGCCGCCACTTCGATCCTCAGGGAATTGTTGTCAACAACAGCTTTTTTTCATGGCAGCCAATTCCTTGACCGAACTACTCATGATCCCCATCAAAGATTCGTCACCGCAACATCTATATTCTATGGTCATGACACATGCATGAGCACTTATGGTTAGCAGGCAAGTTAGACGAGGCCACATCAATTTGGCATCCAGCAGAGCCGTTTTCGCCAAATAAAGGCGTGACGTCAACAGAACCGTTGATACCAGTGCTCGGAGAACCACTTTGGGCAAGCGGGATCGTACTAGAGCTATCTTCTCCGCTTTCTTTAGACCTGGTTGACATGGGCATGGCAAACCCGTAGAAAACAAGAAAAAATCAGCCAAAAGTAGGAGCTAGAAAATTTGCCTCCTACTTCTACACGTACTCACGCTGCTATCAGTCACCCAGTTTTGGTGGAAGTGCGCGAGTTCAATTGGGAACTGATAAGGGAGGGAGGGAGCGTCTCAGCTTCCTCGGACCAAGACCATTCGACTCAGCACCCCAAAGACTAAAACTGGTGAAAATTTGATTTTAGGCGGCTTAAAAGTACAGTACAGATGCAGGAACCTATACAGAATCAGCATAGCTATGGTCACAGATTATCCACAAATATCAGGAGTTTCACACTTGTGTGTGGTCCCTGTGCTGGAGAAATGGTATGGATCTCTGAGTAGTGACCGATCTTTTCCTCCCTTCTACCGACTGTGTTTACTTCAGTAAGGGCGTGTTCAGACTATTGTGAATCCCGTCAAACCGTGAATAGTGAGAATCCGCGAAGGACATTCCCACTACCGGTAAACTAACGTTACCGGTACGTAAGTTTTGCAGCTCTCACCGCGGCACTGAGAAGGGATTTTCCCTTTTTCCCAGCCTGAGCACATTTTACTGCCGGAAAACCTTTCCGCCTGTAACGTGCCAGTAACGTCACGTGATCAAATCACCTTGGAAACTCGCCTGTAACACCTTGGAAACTCGCCTGTAACGTGCCAGTAACGTCACGTGATCAAATCACCTTGGAAACTTTCCCAATCGGTCACTTTTCATCGGTAGTCTGAACGTGCCCTAAGTAAAATAACAATCTCTTCTTTGCTCTGAACTGACCTGTATGCGATCGGATGTGTACTTTGAGGTGTGATTTTTTGGTGTAGGACTTTTCACAGCTGGGATAGGGGCAGAGGAAGCGATTGCTCTGGGATGGCCTGTCAGGCAGTGTCGGTGCCTTGTCAGCCAATGCTGGTTGCGATGAGGCGGAGATGAGTGGTGGGAGGGGTGTCGTACAGTCGTCGCTCTCCGATGAGCACTTGGTGACGGAGCTGGTGTTGGAGCTGATGCTCAGTGACCGGCCAGTGTATGGCTGCGGGCGGGATGATGCGCTCAACGTGCGTTCGCCACTATTTGCTGAGCTTCTTGCTCCGCCAGGTGGGCGTGCGACAGCTTTGCCTTCGAAAGAGTTCAGTGGCAATGCACACGGTGAGGCAAATGTTGACATGGTACTCAGTACTGGCAAACTAACAGGCTGCAGGGCTTGAGGTCCTTCGGGGGTATTGCCGGTTCGGGAAAACGCTACGCCTTGACCAGTTGACAAGAACTGATGGGGGAAATGAGGTGCAATGGGTGATGAGTTTTGGATGTATAGAGGAGAGCTGGGAATCTTCACCGGTGTGCCTGGGGATCCAGATTGTGGAGTGGTTGGAATAGGTGAAGCAGTGTTGTTCATAGTGGGTTGTACAAGAACCATATACGGGGCTTGCTGTGGTGCACACATAGTCCACTGGCCAAGGAACTGCGGAGTAGCTTGACCGTGACCCGGCGCACACAATACAGTGGGCTGACCTGCTGCTGCTGCTGCTGTTGCTGTCAGTACAGTGCTTCTATCTGCCATGGGACTCGGCGTCCCAGCACTACCAGTGCTGTCGCCATTGGCTGACTGATCAGACGGTACTGCTCGCGTCCGAGCTGTCCCGGGCCAGTGCTCTGGATCTTGCCGGGTCACAGGCGCCAGCTGAACGACGACAGGGTGGCCTTGATTACAGGAACCGGACGGAGTAGAAGCAGGCGTGTAGTCCTGAATAGGGAAACGCAGGCATACCGGCAGAACCACAATCTCATGTTAACATCCAAAACTGAAGACTTCAATCTTACTTGACCAGCCATTCTAAATCTTCTTCTGCACTTCAAGAAACTCTAACCTACACATTGTGCATCGGAATTGCACTGTAGTCAATATTGGTGTTACAAGAAGCAGGAAAGACCCATCTCTTTATTGTGTGATTGGCAAGAGAAGAGAAATACGCGACAAAATCAGCTATTGCGTTAAAATCAGGCACTCCACCGCTTCATACACTCTCGGCTGACCCACTCCACTTTCATCCATAGTGGAGAGGTACAAATATGGAGCACTGAAATGTTCCAGGCAGGACCACTGAATGAGGCCGTGTCTGCAACTAGTCGAAAGTAAATATTCATGGCGTGAGATAAAGAATACGCCTGTTCCCCTTGTAGGTGTGTGCCTGGATTTGTCTCAAGTGTTTTGCTTGTAAATGCTGTACCTACAGTACAAATTAGTGCCCTGACATGTTGACACATTTGCCGTCTGCGGGTGTGGCTACACATTTGAGAAAGGGGAGCTAGTGTTACGTCTGGTTAACCTAATATTGAGCGATGTCCTTATTTGAGCCAGTAGAGTTCAGTTGTGTGTTTTTTTTTTGTTTTTGTTTTTTTACTATTATTCACAAACCCAACTCGTACAATAAATAATTATGTGGAAAAAAACAAACAGCTACTGAGCAGGGGCTGCACTGGGCAGCAGTGATGGTGAGGTACCAGGGGCTCCATCGACCAAAGGTCTCGATGTGTACATGTATACTTCTTGTACATGCAAGGCTGGGAACTGACTTTCAGTTAAGGCCGATTCATACTTCATTTCGCGTACCGGAAAGTCATCGCGCGACCGTCGCACGATGGCTTTCCCCAGTTTCCCGTACGCGAAATAGTTGAGCTCAGATCCAATTTTTTTTCGCGACACGACCCGTTTCCCGTAC